ATCCTAAAACAGCAGAAGAAATTAAATGCAAGACCCCAGAGACAAAATAAGGGAATGTATCTCCGCCAACGCAGTCTGTGTTTTACATATGATTTTCTTTGTTAACAGGAGAATCATACTGATCATGTAAAACAAAGACCCTTAATACAGACGATCCTAAGTGCAACGAAGTTGCCTCTACCAAGAAAATTCGGGAACGCCTTCAACTTTTTTGTATGTGTGCAGGCACGAAGTGTGGCGTCAGAGTTTCCTTTGGCATATATATAGAGAGAGAAGGAGCATAATTGAAATTGATGTATGATATTTTTTTTGTTGCTATTTCACTTTACTGCTTTTTTTTTTGCCCCTCATGAATATAATATAGAATAGGGTATGGGGGGCTTTATCTTAATAGAAAAGAGTTAACCTTCCTCAGTAGCTCAGCGGTAGAGCGGTCGGCTGTTAACCGATTGGTCGTAGGTTCAAACCCTACCTGGGGAACTCGCTATTGATGATTTAATTGTGTGGAATCCAAATGAAAATGAAAGTTATTCAATAAACTAAAAAGAGTACAACATCCTATACAGAGAATACTCGGAATCATGAATTACTACTCTTTCGTGGACAATCGATCATCATTATGGTCGATAGTTCACTTAATGAAGGAATCTTGTGCATTGACCTTAGCGCTTAAATATCGCACTAAGTTCAAAAGAAGCATGCTGAAGAAATTTGGTCCACAGAAGCTCATACACCCCCTGGAGGAAGACTTGGACGTGGTCATAATGGCTTCTATGACACCCTAAATAATTCTCTTCAATTTCAATTAGCACTTGCATTAGTTTCTAAGCTTATGTTTTTACTATTCTAATATGTATTTACCTAAATAACGCTTTAAATCTTCATTAACCACTTTCTCCCATTTCGTGGCCTCTGGTGACACAACCGCCGCAAAGCGTTCATCTTTCCCATCCACCCCAGGGTGGGGTGGAAACTGCAGTTATCTCTTTTTGTTGATCAACGATAATTACAACATCTGGCAAATTTTTCATGTATTTCATTCCACCTAAATATTTTTGCAATTGATTTAATTTGTGGTACCAATCATGCCTTTATGCCTATTGTAGTGGAAGTTGTCTCTTTCAATGATTATGTTTCTTGGGTGTCTAATAAATTAGACTAAAAAACAAAGGAGCGAAGCAATGAGTATGAGTTCTCAAAAGCATCCTTATCATTTAGTTGATCCAAGTCCATGGCCTATTTTTGGTTCACTGGGAGCTTTGGCAAGTACCATTGGTGGTGTTATGTACATGCATTCTTATACAGGAGGAACTGTTTGTAAGAAATCATTCTAACTAAAGATATAAATAAAGATATATATAGTGCCGGAAAAGTGAAAATAAGGCCTCAACCATACATATCGCTCTTCGTTTCTAGTGTACAGCTAGCAGGACTCGAACCCACAAGGCGCGAAGCGCCGTCACATCCTAAAAGTTATTGGTTTATCATAGAGACGATTTCGGGCAAAAAAAATTCCCATGGTGTGACGGGCGGTGTGTACAAGGTCTGAGTACATATTCACCGCGGCATGCTGATCCGCGATTTGTTTTGTCGCCTCTTAGTGCTGCGCAAATGGCATGGCAAGCGTCGTAGTGTAAGCTGGCAGGAAAGTTGAAGATATAGTCCATACCATGGATAAATTCATGGAGAAAGGCATCACATATGGGTAGTTTATCTGGGGCGGATGCCTTATCTAGAGCGCTTACACAGTAATGTTAAAGGCAAATCTGGCTACATGCTGAAACCGCCGCCGAGTATCCAGTAATGAATGTGTCGGTGCGGACACTCAGCAGGGAAGGAAGTCTAAGACTGTAAAGCCTCAACGACTGCACACCAGGACCAGCATTGAAAGGTCGCTGACCTTGATCTCCACTCTTCGGATTCTGCATCACAGAATCAATCCTGCTAACCATTGTAACTGTAAATGATCAGTGTTGATTGATATCATAGTACAGAATGTGAATTGACTTGTAATTGCTGACTCAATTTTGAGAACCAGTTTATCGTGAGTGTCGCTCCCGGAGTCATATTATCAGGATTACCACGGATGAGTTCATAGCAGTTATTTGTGCGGATTTTCCTACAGCTCCAATAAAGAGTAAAACAAATAGCAGTTAGTGCATGAATTTTCATATTAAAAAAAAATGAAAGAAGGTTCCCACACAAAGGCACTAGCATAAGCAAAAATGGTTGAAAAGTCTACTGTTTGAAAAATAGCAAAACAACCCATAATACCAAGAGCTAATCCAAAAGCACCTACTCGATTCACAAGCATTGCTTTAATAGCTGTTTTATTTGCTTGAAGTCGTGTAAACCAAAAATTAATTAACAAATATGATGCAAGACCTACTCCTTCCCATCCTAAAAACATTTGAATGTGGATCTCTGAGATGAAATTATTGAATCATAAATTTTCGGAACAGATTGACTTGATATTGCAATCAAGACAGAAACTCAGAGAATGATATAATCTATTTTTGATTTAAATTCAAAATGACCCTGGTAGTCCATGCCGTAAACGATGAGTGTTGGTCCTTAAAATTAAAATTCATGATTCTATTTTGAGATAATATTCTATTAGACGATTGATACCTACAAGAAACATTTGATAAATGGAAATAAACATACATATTGCTATTTTCAATTAGATTGGAGAAGATGAGAATACAATGTAATARAATATTGCATTTCATTATTATAAGAATAGTAATTAATAGATAGAGAATAAGRAATAAATAATAATCAATTCATTATAAAATAACTTTCATTGATTGAGAAAAAAAAACTTGTAAATTAGTTAAATATTTGATTCAAATACTAGAGAAAAGTATTAAAAAAAAATCCACAAATAAAGTCTTTCAACCAATTAAATAATATAGAAACGAACCATATGCCTAGATCTAAAAAAAACGATAATTTTTTTGATAAAACATTTACGATCATTGCAGACATCCTGCTTCGAATAGTTCCAACAAGCCAACGAGAAAGAGAAACTTTTACCTATTACCGAGATGTTGGAACGATTAGACCCGCGCCGGAACAAAGGGAAGTGGCGGAATGCCGGCCCTCTCCCGGAGAGATCGAGTCAGGAGGACCCACCTTCGTCACTGGGGAGATCGATGTTTTGAACATCGTTCGAGCCTTAGATCATCGGATTCCTCTTTCGATTGGTCATCTACTTTCGATATCGTAACAAGCCAACGAACGGATGTTGCAACATTGCAAGGCGAATCGGAAACGATTTGTCCTTGCTCGGATAGCGAACACGAAAGCAAAAAGTCCAACAGAAGACGAAAAAGTTGTCGGTGCTTCAGACCCAATACGGTTAGGATTAATCCAGAAGGACGATCACTTCCTCCGAATTGAACCGATCCCATGGAAATCCGCAGAGTGCGACATCGAGATATGGCGAGCCTCGTACAATGTCATTATCGATTTTGGAGTCACTGTTATGGCTATCTCATTACGGGTAGTTAAAAGGGCCGGAAGAAAGAACGATCTGATTATGCTTGCGGAAAAGGATCAGCTCATCTCAACAGATGAAGAGAAGATTAAAATGGTAGTACGGATGACCAATGTTGCCTTTCGATTGGGGAAGGTGCATGCTTTGGGAGATGTCGTAGTTTTAAACGTAAACACTTACGACGTTCTTTTTGGCCTTCCTGCTCTTGTGGCCTTGCGAGCCAATCTGCATTTCGAGAGGCGATCGATCGTCCTTCGAAATACAGGAGGAAATCCCTACGTTGTACCTATGAGGTTGACCCTTCGAACCACGACTAATGTAACCCCGCAAGTTTTTCCAATAATGGGGGGAACTCTTCGCGTGATTACCTGGGATAACCCTGCCGACGGTGAACAATCTCTGAAGGACGCGGACAGCAGTGACGAGGACGATCCAATAATTTTGGAGATGGCGCAACAACGTATCTATTACCCTGTCCAACGAACAAACACGAGATCACTAAGCCGGACTGATCAGAATCTACAAAGAACGCAAGCCATGATTATGGGTGAACCCCTCGTGCAGATTTCGAGGATGGTCGATTCTTTGGAAACCCCTCGAACCCTGTACGAAGATATCTCCCCTTTACTCGCACGATATAATGACAAAAGGCACTACTGCGACATCACAAATCTCCCTCGATCTCTTTTTGTCACCTGCAAAAGAGATACGATTGATATGCTGGGGGGCGGAGACCAATTCTTTGGAACCCCCTGAGCGCCTCGAAACTAGACTCGAAATTAAAATCACAACGAAACCCGTGCCATGGCCGGACATCTGAGACGGAATAATACCGGAAGAACACGTGGCCATTCATGAGCAGGACACACAGATGATGGTCACGGTGTTCTCTTGGCGATCCGATCATTCGTTTATTTTCGCGCCCCCGCCTGAAAACGTTAAGCGGGTAAGTACGAAACAGATCGATGTACCGATATGGGATCAACTGTATGAGTTGCACGTGCCCCAGTACGTACCTGATGAGATCCATCACCTAATCGCAGACATTTTAAAAGAATACCAAGGAGCGATTAGCTTGACAGACACAGATATCAGACTCTCGTTAGTCATACAACACGAGATTCAGACCGGAAACCATCCCCCGATTCACTGTAAGCCCTACAGGTACTCCCTGGTAGAACGAAAAACAGCCCTACAGCGGATCCGGGAGTTCGAAACCAATGGATGGATCGAACCTGCTACGGGACCATTAGTGCCAAAAAAGAACTTATCGATTCACATATGCTTGATTATCGCAAGTTGAATGACATCACGATCAAAGATGTGTACCCCCTTTCCAGGATTGATGATCTGCTTGATGCGATTGGGTGTGCTAATTATTTCAGTAAATCTGATATTCGCCACCGTTTTCATCACATCCTGGTTAAGGAGGAAGATCGGCCAAAAACGGTCTTCGTACTATTTGAAGGCACATGGCAGTGGGTCCGGTGTCCGATGGGTATTTGCAACAAACCTGCCACGTTTCAGCGGGCAATGAACGTGACGTTCCAGAACTTCGTCAACAAGACGCGGCTCACTCAGGGGATGATTAACTTCTGCGTCATCGTGTACATGGACGACATCCTCGTCTACTCGGAGACCTATCACGGGCATGCACAACATATCGAGCGGATGCTGGAAGCTCTAAGAGATGCTGGTTTCAAGATCACGCTCGAAAAGAGCGAGTTCCTCCTCTCGGAAATCTCGTTCTTGGGCTATGTGGTGACACGTGGAGGACTGTGGCCAGACTCGAGGAAGGTCGCGGCGCTGAAGGATGCTCCTATTCCCACGACATTGACGAAGGTTCGAGCTTTCCTGGGACTGGCGTCGTACTATCGTCGCTTCATCAAGGGCTTCGCCGCAATTGCGCGACCTCTAACATACTTATTGCGGAAGGACCAGCCCCTCAGCTGGGACGCAGAGTGCGAACAGGCCTTCGCCACCCTCAAGGACGCCCTCGCGACAACACCTATCTTGATCCGGCCAAACCCTACGAAGCGGTTCATTCTTATCACGGACTGGCAGCCAGAGGCGATCTCCGCTATTCTAGCGCAGAAGGGGAATGACAGCCGAGAACACGTCATCGAGTACGCATCACGGACAGTACCAGATGAGCGGAGGAACGATTCGGCCCCGCAGGGTGAATGTTACGCTGTAGTCTGGGGGATTCAACACTTCCATTCGTACTTGTACGGCCAGAAGTTCCTCCTTGTAACCGATCATGAGCCATTACTGGCTATGAAGAAGCTCACTAATTACACGGGTATGATTAGACACTGGGCGGTGCGCCTACAGGAATACGACTTCGACATTATCCATCGAAGGACAGAGAGGCACGGCAACACGGACGGGTTGACACGTCTGCATCGCCCCGCTAAGGGTGAAGAAATCATTCCGTGGAAGGAACCGGAGTCAGTGAACGGACTCAAGTACGGACAAGTGGCAGTCCTTCCACGTGGCAAGAAGCAGGCAATTGGCAATGGGTGACGGAGGTAATCTTGTGACTCCCCTCTCTCCCCTCTCATCCTCATCTCTTCTCTCCCTACCCGACAAATTTTGTTATTTTTGCGAACTTGAAGCAATTTCGTGCATCTACTCGGTCCCTATGCATCCTAGTGGGGGGGGATATGCATAATGGATAGATTGTCGGCAGTGTGTCGCACGAGCATCCAGAACAGAAATGACGATAAGCCTTGGTTGTGTCCCTTGTGTCGGGTTGAAAAGATCCCGACCGAGGCTCGATTTCTTGACGCCACGTAGGAAGGATTGGAAAAGACCCGGAAGTTTAGAAGGGTCGAGGTATGGACAGATATCGCTCTAATAGCTACCTTGGTAGGAACCCCCCTCCAGGACTTCACTAAGGAAGACCGGAGGAGGGCCAATGAAAGGGCTCGGGACTATCATTGGAACAAGGGCCGGTTGGAAAAACGAAAGACGGATGGTAGTGGGATTTGGTTGGTAGTGCCGCACCCGTTCATGAGGTATGACTGGGCTAAGACGGCGCATGAGGAAACTTCAGCCCATTTTGTCGTACGGATCACAAGCAGTAATCGATAAAAATGAATGGTATTGGTCCAACATTCGTGACGATGTGAAATTCATCGTCACGAACTGCCAGGTCTGCGTTGCTGACAAGGTGCCGATTCAGTTGCCAAGATCGATAGTGCTGACTATAGTCGAACGGCCTTTTCAGAGGGTTAGCATGAATATTACCGATATTGTGGTGCCCCCCTGGACCTAATAGCTACGAATATTCAATCCTACTGGTATTTGTAGACCACTTCTTGAAATGGATCGAGGCGTATCCGTGTCGTACGCGAGAGGCGGCTGAAATTGCACGATACGTCAACCGGTTTTTAGGGATGCATCAGGACACGGAGGAGATCCTCACCGATAATGGGGTAGAATTCAGAGGGGAAGTCTTAAGAAATCTGGTCGTACATGGCGTCGCCATTCGGAACACTGCACCCCACATGTCACAGTCTAACGGCCTGGTAGAAAACGAGAATCAGGTGATAAAGACAGCGTTGTGACGAAACATCACGGCACGGGATCCGAGGCCCTGGCCCGATATCGTAGATCACATCCTGGCGGTCCATCGGGGAACGCCTCACGAATCGACGGGCCTTAGCCCCTTCCAATTACGAACTCATAGCGTAGCTTGTGTCTCGATACCGAGCCTCCTGGTTGAAACTTCATTGAACCGGCGGCCTACAAAAGCCACGGTTCGGGACAAGGCCAAGCGGCATATGGAGTTGATGGAACGGTCCCTTCCCCGATTAGCCCGAAAGCGCCAGAAAATGAATGAGTTGGCCCACGGCCGACAGGTCCGCAGTTACGAGGCCCGGAATGGGAATGCGGGAGCACGTCCCTAGTATAGATTAGGGGACCTAGTGTAGGTGAGGAAATGTGCTCGCCAAGGGAAGATAGCGCCACGATTCTTTGGGCGATTTCGTGTGATCGAGCTCGGCCTGAACGGGGTGAACATCGTGCGCCTCGTGCCGGAGGTCTCGGGAAGCCGATCGGCTCGACCGATCATTCGCCACGTGTCCTATCTACGTCTTCTCCCTTCCTCTCATCTCCAACTGTGTTTGCTCCCTCCTTTGCTACAGAGGAGGACGACGACTCTCTATCGCTCTCATCCCCTCCTGCATCTCTCGCCCCTTCTCACACCCCCTCCCCATCACCATCCCCATGAGTTTTCTCACTGAGCGAGCTCTCGGCGATCACATGTTCGCGTCACGTGGCGACATTTCGGCAATTCGACAGGTTTGTCATCCGCGACCAAGTCCAGATCTGCTCCGGCTCACGCAGTTCTTCAGCACTACCGGGGTATACGTGGCGGCGGAGTTCCGGTTCACGAGCCATTGTCAAGCGATCGTGTTGGTAGAGGCGACGGCGGTTCGATGGTTCAGCACCGGGAGTTAGCCACGTGTCTACCGTCGTTATCTTCAGCGATGATATTAGTGCGATCAACCCTCTACGTCACACGGCCATCCGGAAGTCGCTAAGGGAGTGGGGCCAACAGTTGGCAACAGAGTGGAATCAGTAGCTTACACGCCGCGGCGACAATCTTGTCCCCACGGACGACATCAACGTCGGAGGGCTCCGAACGTCTCCGCACGAGCCGATGGTGGTGCTTCCTGAGCTCGTCCCTTTCCAGCACCCCCAATGAACTGCTCCCAGCTCTCTACCTTCGCTCTCCCATCTCTCTTCCCTACCTTCTGGCAGTCTGACCTTTGCCCCCGTCTCTCCTTTCGTCTGGAATCACTCCCTGCTCCCCTCCTCGATCGAAGATAGTGGGAACGGTGGTGCGAGCACTTCATCGATCTTTCGGTGTATCTGGTCGGGGTGCAGCTGACGTGGACGAGGGATATAGAGCACCACGCCTGGATCGAATACGTGGAGCTGTTGATCATCCAAGCTTGGAGGACGGAGGTGGAAGGAGACCTTCTCGGATTTCTATCCGGATCGGTGCGGCCCGACCATCGATAATTGATCGTACAGGAGCTCACGATTCCCCTCCCGCAGATGGTCGACGATCTCCCTCTCGATATCGTTTCGCAGTGTGACGAAAGCCCGATCCCGCACGTCCTTTCACGAACTCTGACACCCTACCTACAGTGGTTGGCCTGCCTCGAGGAGCATGGAGGTAACAGCAACCCGCCATCGCAACGAGAATAACTGGACCCACGGAGGATAATCGACCTTGCCTTCTTGCAGCCTCGAACGACCTCCGAAGACGAAGGGCTGACGCTAGAGGAGAAAGAAGAAGAGGACATAGAGGAAGGCGACGAGGAGGAAGAAGAGGAAACCCCGGAAGAAGGAAGTTACAGTGAGCATAGCGAGGGAGAACAGAGCGAAGAAGAAGGGGAAGAGGACAAGGAGCAAGAGGAGTCTGAGTGGGAAGACTTGGGCGAGGAGGCGGACCATACAGAGGCCCAGGAGGAAGATTCAGAGGCGGTGGCGCTGTGCAGAGAAAATATCGCAGCCGGTAAGCAGCCGCTAGAGTACGCGAGTGGGATGAATCTGCCAATCTTGGACGATCCAACCAAGGATCCGGAGCCACCCAAGCCAGAGGATGGGGACCTTGCTGCCGAGACTTCGAGCGCACCGGCCCGACGTCGACGAAGCTGATCCCCCTCCCCCTCCACCTCCACCCGTCCACCAGTTCGAGCTCGTACCGATGCAGGGCATCGGGCTTCGTCCCCGGTCCTTATCCCGTTGTCCCCTTGACCACCTCACCCTCCGCCAGATCACCACCCGCATCACCTTCCCCCGCAATCCCTTTCCAATCGACACCTTCCGCTTTTTCTACGCCACCCGTCTTGCTGTCACGGTTCATTCCCATCCTTCTACCCGGTGTGCCACCCCTGTCTTCTGTCTCCACGCCCTTCTCTTCAGTGCCGCGTGGCGAGGCCACAAGATCATCGAGGTTTACTGCATGATCACAGGGACCCGCATGCGAAAACCACGATCACTTCCGCATGGCACTCTTCCGAACTTTCACCACCCTCTACCCCGACTATCTCGCATCCCTTCCTCATAGTGGTAATCGATTCCCTCGCTTTCATCGGATCATCCGATATCAGGAGTTTCCGGTGACAGTAGCGGGAATGGAGAATTTCTTACCCTCGCTCCCGACTAACCCACCCCCTCGCTATGCCCCCATGTATCGTCTTCCCTTTCCTCTTCCCGTTGGTCATTGATGCACGGTTGATTGACTAGTGCCACCCTGATGACACGAATAATCCCCTCCTTGGATTGAAGAAAACCCTTATTGAGGAATGTTTAGGAGAGAGCCATGTTTGCCAAACTGGATGACTTCCACACTCCTTCGCATGGTTGGTGGCAACATAGAAAGCTCCGCGTGTCGATCGATTAGAGAGATCGACACGTGTCATAATGACAAGCAAGCAGGAGTTTGCTTAAGATTGGAACCCCCTGGGCATCACATATGTGACGAACCAATTTCTGTTCCACGCGATTTTCTGCGCGATAACAATGAGGGGTCCTAAAATGGGAAGGATGGGCCAATTACGGGACATCGGGATCAAAGGGAAATTGCATCGGTGTCCTCGCTTCTTCGTCTTTTTGTGTCGCTTCTTTTCCGAATGGTTGGGTTCAGGGCCGGCCAAGTCCCGAGATAGCCGATTAAGTGGTTGTTGCGTCGACAAAGGTGCGATTAATGATGTTTGACGTCACTTCTTTCGTGTTCTGTTGCCGGGTTTTAGGCGCGAAGGTCGCGCGGGAAGTTTTGCTTCTTTTTTAATTTCTTTTTCGAATTTTGTCGAACCCCGATGGCTCTCGAAATTTCGGATTTTCTTTTCGGAATTTGCGCTTTATTAAAAGTTCCTTTTGCAATAAGTTTAGGAATTAGGAATTTCAAAATTCGGGATTTCTTTTGCCGCGAGTTGTTTTTCTTGCGCACTTCTTTTTGCGGCTGCAGCGGAGCTCTGATTAGTCGGCGCCCTTAATCTTGCGTATAACCGTAATTTTGGGCAGGGCGCCCTTGTAACTGTATCTTTCTTCTTGAGCTTCGTCTTTCCCGCCCTCCCCCTTCCTTGCTGTGTCTATCTGGCCCGCGGGCTGCATGATCAGGTCGATGTGTGGAGAGTGGCTACGTCCCCCACACCGCGGTCTGGCCACGCAGAACGTAGGCAATCCCTCCCCTTCCTCTTCCTAAGTCCTTGCAATTCCATGTTCTTTGCGCATGCATGCACGCTATAAATTTCGGCTGCGCGATTAGATACCTCTCTTAAACAGTTGTTGGAAGCTCGGGGTAGTCAGTGAGCGTCGGCTCATGAGTGAAGTAAGAGGTGAGTTGAAGTGGGAGTCGGGCGACCCGACGAGCTGGTGTCGAATGTGCGGGGTTGACGCGTGGGGCTACGACGGATTGTAGCGCGCGGGCGAACCTGACAGGTGCAGGAGAACTAAGCGGGGTGATGACTTCGTGGGTTGGTGTGTGACGACGGACTGTCCGCATTGGAGAGAGAGAAAGAGGAAGAGAGAGTTGATGGGCATGGATTTGCAATTTTCTGTCTTTTCCTTTAGTTTTGTATATAAGTTTTGATTTCGGCTCGAGCGATTCGCTCTCATTTCCCTTCGGCATCTTTGTTTCAACACTGGTCCTTGTATGATGTCTCATTCTGTTTCGGTCCTCCCTCTTTCGTGTGTATGGGATGAACTAGCTCGGATCGAATAATATGTTCGTCGTTTTTGTCGAGTCATCATCGTTGGTTTTTTTTCACTGTGATCCGTTGTTGTTATGGTATGAGTTTTGATGTTGTTGCGATGTCTGATGTGTGATGACACCTTGCATGCTCGGAAATGATTGCTAAGTGATTAGATGACTGGGTAGTATCCAGGACACGTGACGATTTTGCATGAGGGAGTAAACTCTCACTTTGGCTGCCAATAGGCCCGGGTGCGAGCGAACACCTCGTGTGGATACGTGTAAGCGCGATCTGAATCGCGCAGCCTACACGTGTCCACGCGCGGCGAGTCGCGATCGTTGGCGAACCTGGCACCTCCGGTATCGGGATAGGCGAGGAATTTCCCACTATGCCGCAATGACAAGATGACGTACACATGGGACTCAGGGTGCTTCGAGCCCTGGGAAGAAGAAGAATATCGTAGGCGGAGATACCCGGAATTTCCCTACCCAACCGAGAACCGATTGTGCCCTGGGGAGTTCCATTGTGCCGTAAGCAGTGATCCAAGGTGCCCCGATTACCTAACTACGTATAACACGCAATACTTCATATCCTCCGGCTTCGTCGTTATCGCTACCAATTTCCCTCCCTTCCGTCTCCTCCTCCCGTGCCACCAACTCACGGTGGTACCCTGGAATCTCATCGCCCCGTATTGGCCCTGCACGCCGTGCAGAAAGTGCAGACGACACGGACACCGCCGAACCCCTGGAACTTCGGAACCCAACCATAACGCGTGGGGACAGACGCCACGTGTCTGCACCTGAAGGTCCGACTCATAAGAATCACAACCATCACGGGCGGGCCTCTCCTGAACTGCCGCCACCAAAACAGACAGATCGGACGACCCTTTGCACCACGCATGCCATCTGCCTTATGTTGTGCGACATCGACCGCCATCAGACCGGAAGTAACCCGTCCCTTAGCTCTATTGCATCTATGCCCCTGAACCCTTGCCACAGGAGATCTCGGTTCTGACTTGGGACTCCACCCCCACTTTCCCCAAAAATCCTTGGCACACCCCCTTTTCGCACTTCCAGGCCCACATCCCACTCTGATCAAGAAGTCACGCCGTGCGTGAGGTTGGGCGTCACAACGCAGACTACGACCACTCTTATAGATAGAGTGTTATTTTATTTTGTTCATACTCAGATCAATAACCATCATTACTTCTTTCTTGGGAAATTGCTCATGGGTCACATTTTTTAGTTCGAAATGGGCAGAAAAAACAGGTACTAGCAGAATGGCCAGGGCCAGCGTTTGGAAAGGCAAAAAAAAACATTACGTGGCAGAAAAAGTCTGTCAGGTGTATCTTGCTTTTTTTTTTTTTCGACTTTCGTGATGACCACGGGGCTATAACGCCCTCACGGAGGGCACACTCTCACCCCTTCTCCAGAGTCTGTATTCAGCTGCTTTCACGACCATAGCGATGTTGCTTTTTTTTGTTGTTATTTTTTTCCCGTTGCTCTTTCTTATTTTTGTTGTTCATTTGCCAGGAGTACCAGAAAACAAAAATACAACAGTCGCCCTGGTACCTGCAACCGCTGTCTGGTCAGGTCACCCCGCCAAGATGGCAATGGGTGATGGTCCTAGGTGGTTAACACTTAGGTAGGAGAGAGGGGTTGGGGGTGCGTCAAGGCAAAAAGATGAGAGGAAGGGTGGGTGGGATCTTCAGAGGGGTTCATCTGGACAGTCGAATGGCAAAGTACTGTGGGTAACTGCCATCCGTCTAGTATCCCACCTCTACAACAACCTGGGCTTTATTGGGGAAAACAACAACAACAACAACAACAACGAGTCGAGATGTCTAGGCCACGCCCGTGGCTGGGCCACAACCGAGATGTCTAGGCACTGTGGCTGGGCCATGGCCGAGATGCCTAGGCCACACCAGTGGCTGGGCCACGGCCAAGATGTCTAGACCACGACCGAGATGTTGAGGCCACGCTAGTGGCTGGGCCACGACCGAGATGTCTAGGCCACGCCTGTGGCTGGACCACGACCGAGATGGCTAGGCCACGCCTGTGGCTGGGCCACGACCGAGATGTCTAGGTCACACTGATGATTGGGTCACGACCGAGATGTCTAGGCCATGCAGGTGGCTGGGCCACGGCCACGCCGGTGGCTGGGCCATGGACGAGATGTCTAAGCCACGCCGGAAAAGAAAAAAGAAAGAAAAAACAAAGATCTTGTGTGGAGAAAACATCACACCATGATTGAAAAAAACCTACAAAACTTCTTCTGCGGATTCGATTCCATTGGGAATCGAACTCGGGTCTGCACCTTTGCGATTAAAAGAGAAATAGAGGCTCCTAGAGACAAGTACGCAGCGTTTTCTGCTACACGATCTTGAAAGTCGACAGTCGGAAACGGCCGCGCTGGGGAGCTGAATCTGCCAGAAAACAACATTCCTTGAATAAGGACTGCAGTATTGGAAATACCTTTGCACCAAGGGTCAGGGGAATGATGGAACAGAGGATGAGTAAGCTGTGAAATTCCGTTAAAAGGGAACATGGTCTGTTGAACCACCATCATCTTCCAAAGTCGCAGCGGTTAACAATCCGCAATAATGATGAAAAGAAAAAAAAAATTCAAACAATTAAATAATCATTTTATAGTAAAATTACATTCTAAATTTCAAATTTTCATTCCATCTTAAAAAATGTCATTCCAATTTTAAAAATTTTTGTTTTACTTGAAAATTTTCCTTCCAAGAATGGGGTATCCCTTTTTATTTGAACTGCATGCTAGAGATGGGATGAAAGTTTTGATAAGTTCATGAAATATTTTAATTGGACTGTCATTCTAAGTATTTTCAGTCATAAATAGGTCAATCCAATCTAAATTAAAAGATATTTATTGTAATAGAATGAAAGTTAATTAAAACATTTCATAAACTCGTTCATACTTTCATGCCATCTTGAACAAATAGATGTAGTTGGAAGGGAAAACTCATATTTAGACAGGAATTTATCAAATAAAACTGTAAATTTTA